ATGTTTATGCAATTACCACTCAAAATATAAATATATTAATTGGACTGAAAATTTTTCTATAATTTCATCTGTGTAAGGATTAAACTGGCAGAGGGAAATGAAAGATTAAAAACTAAGAATAAGCTCAATGACAAGGACAGACTTATTGGTCTGAGAAGGGCACACTAAGACCCAGCATTGCAGTACTCAAGGGTACAGGAGAAATCCCTACCCAGAGTCTGAAAGGGGTTTTGTGATTGAGGGTAGGAAAAGAGGAGGGTATGCAGCCCAATCCCAGCCTTGCAAACCCAGAAACTGGTTTTCTGAATAAACTGCCTTTTCAAATCACCCATAACACATACGTCAAATTGCCTGTTTTAGTATGCTCCAGGATCCAGTGTATGAGGTACATACCAGCTGCTTTCCGGAATTACAGGAGTAGGTCTACTGAACTCATGGGCCTATTTTAGGGGCTCTGGTATTGGGGAGATTTCCCTTTAATGTTTTTTACTATTGCAGTACCCCAAAACAATTTCTTTAAATTTTCATGTATTTCTGTGAGATTTAAGGCCTACCAGGCCAAGAGAAGGCAACCTGGAGTCTGACCGTTGCTGTCAGTGGTAGTGATCCTGCTCAGCCAATGAGGGGGTTGACTACACAATGTCAAAGCATCAGAACACCTGGGTCCTGGGAGAGTCTATAAGTTTATATCCATTGCTATCTAAGTTTGTATCCATTGCTAAAGAGTATGATGTTTTCCTTTCACCTGGCTCCCTAGGTCTGTTTGTTGACTTCATGGTTTCTCACCTCCTCCACTGAGGGAGCCAGGAGGGACCAGCAACATCAAGAAATATATTTTGAGGGCCATGGAAGTGGCTCAGTGGGTAAGGATGCTTTCTATCAAGCCTGAAGACCGGAGTTCAAGCCCCCAAGGCCCACGTGGTAAAAAAAATCCACTCCGGCAAATTGTTCTCTGACCTCCACATGAATGTTCAAGCATACAAGAACACAAGCATAAACAAATAATAAATGACAGATAGATGATAGTTACATGATAATTGTTTTGTAAATGTACTTTAAGAGTAATCATGTTCCCATATTTTCCTCCTATAGTTTTGCACAGTAGTAAATGATCATATCACCACTCTACTTAAAACCCCGATCACAATTTTACTAGGAATATGTCTTAATCTTAGAAATTTGTATGATGTTGCATAGGGCTAACTCTAACTCATTTTACACACACACACACACACACACACCACTTTATTTCTTGAGCATTCCATTGTTCTTTAAAGTTTATAAAAACTTCTTTTCCAACTCAGAATTTGCTTGTGATCATCTCTACAGTCAGATGATTGGTCTCTAACACTAGGATGTCTGTGTTATGCTCATCCTTCATGTCTTACTATGTTGTTGTGAAATCATTCTTAAGCCATTCTTAAAATACTGAACTTAAAATACGCCCTATCATGCTCATCTATTATCTGGTTTTCATTGTTTTCCCTTCCAACATAGATCAACAATTTATATATTCTTTCTTTTGCTTATTTCTGCCCTCTCCATTATGCTATCATAGTAAGTCTCCAAATAATATTAACCTTAATTATACTGCTTATCAATGACTGTATAACAAATAGTAGTCACCTAACAAATATAATTTCCAAAAATACCATTCATGTTTCCTCTCACTCTATATCCATTTGTATTATCTAGAAATGTTTATAAATATAATCAAAGGCACTCTTAGATGTGTGAAGTATTCTGATGAGTATATATTTATATATTTGTTAGGATTATTGTGAATACTAACATTTGATTTCTTTTAATCCCTGCATATTTCATTCAGTATGTATACTAGAATTTGCCTTTGCATACATCTACTGATGGGCATTCAGGTTATTTCCAACTTTGGGATACTACAGATCAAATTGTAATTAACATTCACCTTCAAGTATAAAACATGTTTTCTTTAGTCATAGAAAAAATAGCTGGCTGAGGAATTCTTGTATCATATATAAAAATTTACTTTAAGCCATCAAAAACACATTAAATTATACAGTTTAACTATTTAAAATACATTCAATATTTGAATGACCTACAAATTTTTATATAGCATTTTATATTCCTAACAATAGTGTAGCAGTGTGTGAGTTTTCTAGTTACTACACATCATTGCCAACATTTAGAGTGATCTGTTTTTAATTTTAGTACTTCTGCTTATAATGTTGTCTTGTTATGGTGATTAGACTTTAAGTTGCATTCCACTGATGTCTAATTTAATGATTGGTTTACTAATTAGAAATGTGTATACTTTGTTTAGTGTATCGTGCATTAAAATATTTTCCATGTTGGACATGGTGACACACACCTGTAATCCCATCCATTGGATGGCTGAGGCAGAAGATTAAGAATTTTGAAGCCAGCATGAGTTACACTGAGACTTTCAAGCCAGCCTGAGCTACATAGAAAGCCTCCGACTCAAAATTTAAATACAGTATTTTGTCCATTTTTTAGATATCTTCTTCAGTCTTGTATTTAATACATTGGGTGCAATTTTTTCCAGCCTTCCTATTTTAGCAATAGATATACTTGTCATGATATACCTTTCTGTTATAGAAACACATTTGCCATTATAAAGCATTTCTCTTTGTCTCTGATACTGTGCTTTATCTTGAAACACATTTTATATGATAGAAAACAACAGCACAACCACTCACATATATATATATATATATATATATATATATATATATATATATTGTCTCTTACACATATAATAGAGTTCTATTTTTTGCTATTCTTAGCTGTGCCCTTTGAGGTGCTTATATTACCAACATTTAATATGAATAACAATATTATTCATTTATGTGTATAATTATAATATTGGTTTTCTCTTTGTTCCTAACATTTTCTGTTTCTGTTTCCACATCTTTTCTTCTTTTCAAAATATTGTTGCCTCATTTTGATCCAAAGAATGAATGGTCACAATGAGAGGGAAAACAACCCTATTGTAAAGACAAGTAGAGAGAGACAGCTTGAGAAAGTCACAATGATAGTGATTATATTCCCCAAAAACACAATGAAAGAGACAAGCAACACACACAAAAAGAAGCCAAGCCAAACATAGGTGCAGAAGTGTGGCATAGATCAAATAGAAAAATATATAGGGAAATGGCATAGAACAGATCTTTAACAAGATCATAGAAGTAAACCTTCCCAAACAAAGAAATATGTCACATAGATACAAGAAGCATACAAGACCACAACTAAAAAGACCAGAAAAGAAACACCCCACAGATATCATAGTTAAGACACTAAATAAACAGAACAAAGCAAAAACATTGAAAGCTGTAAGGGCAAAAATAAGTCACTTATAAAGAAAACCTATCATAATAACATGTTATTTTTCAATAGAAACTGAAAGCCAGAGAAACCTAGTTCTAAAAGACTGCCAACCTATACTACTGTACCCAGAAAAACTATCTACCATAGTTGAAGGCAATAGAAAAACCTTTATGACACAACAGTCTAAAAATGTTATAATAAGCAAAAGATTACTTCAAACTAAAGGGAGGCATGTGCACAGTCAAGAGACTAAAATGAAAACAAAGTACATCTTAATGAAATAAAAGCAACCCAACTAAAAACACAAACCAGCAAAAATAGCTATACTCTACATACAGCTTTCAATAATAACTCTAAATACCAATGGTCTCATTTATTTAATCAAAAGACATGGACTAGATGAATGAAATAAGAAATAAAATCCATCTATCAAATGTCTACAACAAACTCATTTTTCAAGATAGGCATCAACTTAAAGTGAAAGCATAGGAAAATTACTTAACACACATCAGATCAGGAATCCAAAAGGTGGTGTTATCCTAATAGCCACCAAAATAGATTTCAAAATACACTAATCATAAGAAACAAAGAAGAGCACTTCCTATTAACCAATAGATGAAGTAATCAAGAAAATATTACAATTCTGTGTATATATGCATCTCAGGCACCAAATATCACAGGCACAGGCACAGGCACAGGCATTCCCTGGAAACCAACCAGATAGGCAGGCCAGGAAATCAGTTAAGCAATCTTCGCTTTCCTTCATACGCTCTTATTTCCAACCCCTAATTTTATCCCCAATTTTGCAGCAGACCACCTTGTCTTAGTTGGGGTTTCTATTGCTATGCTTACAAAGGAAAACATTTAAATGAGGTGGTGGCTTATATTTTCAGAGGTTCAGTCCACTATCATCATGGAGGGACATGGCAACATTCAGGCATACATGGTTCTGGAGAAGTAGCTGAGAATCCTACATCTTACAGACAATAAGAAATGGACTGAGACACTGAGTGGTATCCTGAGCATTGGAAAACTTAAATCCCATCCCCATAGTGACACACTTCCACACCCACCCCAACAAAGCCATGTATCCTAATAATGCCACTCCCAATGAGCTCATGAGTGCCAGTTACATTTAAACTGCCTCATACTAGCTGTCAACTCTCCTTTTTCTCTGCCCCCATTCTCGGGGGTCTATTCAGATCCTAGTAGCACAACAGCATTCCTCCTTCCTGCAGACCATCTCAGTTCCCCTATCTAGGAGATCCCAGTTCCTCAGTGTCAGCTCCAATACCTAGAAATATCCTTCCACTCAGGAACTCCAGTTGTCACAACTGGCAGAGTCTCAGAAGCATTTCCTACCAGGCATCCCACAGATATCATACTCTCCTAAGAACCAGAAAGGGTAGCAGAAACAAGGAATGATACATCCAAGCAATAAAGATAAGACCAGACATCAGCACCTAGAATTACAATAATCACAAGCCCAGATGCATAGACACCATTATAAAACACAATCAATAATATCCAGAAGAGTATGCCACCACTAGAACTCAGCAAACCTACCACAATAGTCCCTGAGAAACGCAATGTATCTAAAACATAAGGCAAAGACTTCAACAGAGCTATTATGAGTATGCTTAAGAATCTTAAAGATGGGTTTTTTCCCCTAGTGCCACCGGGCATGCAGGTCTGTGTGGAGCTGCAGTTGCGGGTGTCTGTTCCACAGGATAGGGTTCGTGAAAATTGTCAAGAATAAGGCCTACTTCAAGAGGTACCAAGTGAGATTTAGAAGGCAGCGAGAGGGTAAAACTGACTCCTATGCTCGGAAACGATTGGTGATCCAGGACAAAAATAAGTACAACACACCCAAATACAGGAAGATAGTTCGTGTAACAGAGAGATCATCTGCCAGATTGCCTGTGCCCATTATAGAAGGGGATATGATAGTCTGCACATCATATGAACACGAACTGCCAAAATACGGTGTGAAAGTTGGCCTGACAAATTATACTGCAGCCTATTGCACCAGCCTGCTGCTGGCCCGAAGGCTTTTCAATAGGTTTGGTATGGGCAAGATCTATGAAGGCCAAGTGGAGGTGACTGGAGACGAATACAATGTGGAGAGCATCGACAGCCAGCCTGGTGCCTTCACCTGCTATTTGTATGCAGGTCTTGCCCAAACTACAACTGGCAATAAAGTTTTTGGGGGCCTGAAGGGAGCTGTGGATGGAGGCTTGTCTATTCCTCATAGTACCAAACGATTCCCTGGTTATGATTCTGAAAGCAAGGAGATCAATGCAGAAGTGCATCGGAAGCATATCATGGGACAGAATGCTGCAGACCACATGGGTTACCTAATGGAGGAGGAGGAGGAGGAGGAGGAGGAGGAAGAAGAAGAAGAAGAAGAAGAAGAAGAAGAAGAAGAAGAAGAAGAAGAAGAAGAAGAAGAAGAAGAAGAAGAAGACAAGAAACAGTTCTCCCAGTACATAAAGAACAACGTTACTCCAGACATGGAGGAGATGTATAAGAAAGCTCACGCTGCTATCCCAGAGAATCCAGTCTATGAGAAGAAGCCCAAGAGAAAGGTGAAGAAGAAGAGGTGGAACCGTCCCAAAATGTCTTTGGTCCAGAAGAAAGATCGGGTTGCTCAAAAGAAGGCAAGCTTAATGGCACACCTGAAAGCTTTAGGATATAAAGAAGAAATCATGCTGAATAAGAGTAGACACCAAGAAGTGATCAAACTCTGAGCTGAAATCAATAAACAGCAAAAGAACAAATGAAACAAAGAGTTGGTTCTTTGGGAAAATAAGATTGACATTCCCTTGGTCACATTACATAAAAGGCAGACAGAGAAAATTCAAGTTAACAAAGCTAGAGCATAAAAGTGGAACATAGCAGACACCCAGGAAATCCAGAGATTCGTGAGGATGTACTTTAAAACTGATTTTAAAATGGATAATTTTCTCCATACATACCATGTACCAAGTTAAATCAAGATCGGATAAGCAATTCAAACAGATCTATAACCCCTGGCGAAAAAGAAGCAGTCTTTAAAAGACTGACAATTAAGAAAAAATTGCCCAAGGATAGATGGTTTTAAACACAGAATTCTACCAAACTTTCAAAAAAGAGTTAACATGAATACTCCTCAAATTTTTCCACAAAATAGAAACAGAAGGATCGCTGCCAAATTCTTTTTAACCGGGCTACAATTACCCTGATACCTAAACCACATAAAGACCCAACTAAAAAAGAGAATTACAGACCAATTTCCCTCATTAACAGAGATGCAAAAATTCTCTATAAAATACTTGCAAACCAAATTCAAAAACACATCAAAAAGAGCATCCACCACAATCATGTAGGATTCATTCAGAGATACAGAGATGGTTCCTCATACAGAAATCAGTGTGATCCATCACATAAACAAATGAGACTAAAAACACATGAGATCTCATTAGATGAAAAAAAGGCTTTTGGAAAAATCCAATACATTTTCATAATAAATAGTCCTGGAATGAGTGTGGATAAAAATGACATACTTCAAAATAGTAGAGATGATTATATCAAGTCCACAGTCAACAGCAACCTAATGGAAAGAAACTTAAAACAACTCCACTAAAGTCAGGGTTTTCCACTCTATCCATACCTATTCCTTGTATTACTTTAAGTCTTAACTACAGCAATAAGACAAAATGAAGGTGATAAAGGAGATACATGTAGGAAAAAAAAGAAGTCCAAGTATCTTTATGTACAGATGATATGAATGTATACATAAGTGACCCTAAAGTTGCACTGGGAAATTCCAACAGCTGATACACACTTTCTGCTATATATGACAAAACAATCTATAGCCAACAGTAAGTACCAAAATGGAGAAAACTGAGTAATCCTATGAAAATTAGGAAGGAATCAAGTCTGTCCGCTATCCATAGTCCTTTTCAATGGAATAGTGAAAGGACGAACAAGAGCAGTAAGGAAAGAGCAAGAAATTAAAGAGATACAAGTGAAAAAAGAAGTCCAATTATCCCTGTTTGAAGATGATGTATTTTTATACATAAGAGATAACGAAAACTCTAACCAAAACATTTGGAAACAATACACAATTTCAGTAATGTGGTAGGAAAAATCAACTTTAGAAAAATCAACTTTCTAAAATCAACTTTAGAAAATCAATAGCTTCTCTACACACCACCACAAACACACTGAGAAAAATATCATGGAACACTCCCATTTACAATAGAATCAAAGAGAATAAAATGTCTTGGAATGAGTCTAATAAAGAATGTGAAAGATCTCTACAATGAAAACTTCAAATCTCAAGAAAGAGACTGAGACAGATACTAGAAACTGCAAAGATGCCATGGGCTCATGGATCAGTTTTAATATTTTTAGCATTGCTATAATATTGTATTAGTGTTAATATTCTGAAATGACCATCCTAACAAAAGCAATTAATTCACCGAATGCAGTCCAAATAAAAACATTCTTCATTTAAATATAAAAATAATCCTAAATTTCATGTGGAGCCAGAAAATACCCCAGATAGGCAAACAATCCTGAGTAAAATTAATAATACTGGAAGGATTACCATTCCAGATTTCAAGATATACTATAGACCTACAATAATAAAAGAAATATGGTACAGGCACTGATGTGGGATGTTCTTCTACATGCTGTGAATATGTGTTGCTTTTATTGGTTGATGAATAAAGCTGATTTGGCCTGTGACAGGGCAGAATATAGCTAAGCAGGAAATTAAATATAGGAAAAAAGAAGGTGGAGTCCAGCAAGACACCAACAGTTCCCAGAGGAGAAAGATGTCTGAGTATCACCTGTAAGCCACAGGCCACATGGAGATACACAGATTAATAGAAATGGGTTAATTTATATGTAAGAGCTAGCCAATAATAAACCTGAGCCATCAGTCAAACAGTAATAATTAATATTAAGCTTCTGTGTGATTATTTTGGGACTGGGCAGCCAGGAAACAAAAGCTCTGCCTCCTTTGTTTACAGGCACAGAAACACACATGTAGAATATTAGGACAAAAAAGAAGACCCAATATGAGTTCTCCAATAAATCTTACAAGAAAAATGAAATGTCCAGAATGAGAGTAGGGCCTATATAGTACACTGCATAATAAGTAGCTCCAAGCAGATCAAAGACTTCAATCTAAACCTGAAATGCTTAAACTGCTGGAAAAATAAAACTATCATCAGATTTGGGTGTAAGAAAGGACTTTCTAAATAAGACTCCATTTGCTCTAGAATTAAGGCCAGCAATTGACAATCATTCTTTCATAAAAATGAAAACATTTCTTTACAGCTAAGGAAACAATCAAGGGAAGAATAAACCCAATGAGTGGGAGAGAGTCTTTGCCAATTATATATGTGAAAGAGGATTAACATACATAATACACAAATAACTCAAAAAGAGCCAAGGAAACAAATGGCCCAATTTAAAAATGGGATATGCATCTAATCAGAGCTGTCAATAGCAGAAATATAAATGGCTAAGAAATTCCTCAAAGGGGGTTCATTAACCTTAACAATTAGGCAAATGAAAGTTAAAATAATTTTGAGATTTTATCTACTCTAGTCAGAATGACTAAGATTAACAAAACAATAGACAACAAATGTTGCCATGGTTATGCAAAAAGGGGAACCCCCTATTACTATTGGTGGGTATGCAAATTGTTGGAGCCACTATGGAAATTAGTATGTAAAATCCTCAAAAAATTAAATTAAATCTACCATATGACTCGGCTCTACCAATCCTTGGCATATGCCCAAAAGAACTGATAACCTACTCCACAGATGTTTGTTCAGCAATGTTCTTTACTGCCCCATTCATAATAGACTGTTAATGGAAACAACTTAAATGCCCTTCAACAGAAGAATGGATAATGAATGTATACCGTATATACACAATGAAATGCTATTCAGCTGTAGATAAAAATGAAATCATGAAATGTGCAGGTAGTTAGAACTAGAAATGATAATATTAGGGAGGTAATATGCAGACCCAGAAATAAAAGTGCCACTTGTTCTCTTATGTGCAGTTCCTAACTCCAAATCTTCAGATGTAAATCTACAACATGGAATAATGATGGAAACCAAGGAAGTAAAAATGACGACTGGGGCATGTTTGACAGGGGCCTAGCAGGATATGCGTGATATCAACTAAGAAATGAAAATTAGAGACGGAAACTACACCAGGGAATGGTAAAGGTGGTAAAATAGAAGTAGAACGAGAAAGGAGGGATAAATAATGCCAAGATAGTGTATTAAGCCTCGAGGAATCTTATAAATTTATATTTACCTAAAACATACGTATAATTGTATGTATGCATATATGTATGTATGTGTACGTGCATGCATAAGTGTGTGTGTGTGTGTGTGTGTGTGTGTGTGTGTGTGTGTATGAAGTTATGCTGTTAGGGCTAACAATGCTCCCCTCAAGAACCATAGACTAACAAAATCCCCAGTAACAGACAGGAAAAATCTTCTTTATAATAGTTGTTCAAAGTAGTTCAAGCATCTCCCCCCTCAAAATATAGACTATTTATGTAGCCCTTTGTTGTCTCTTAGAGATTGGAGATAAGCTCCTAATTTTGAAGACACCCCACTCCTGTGACATAGGACTTGGATGATTTGAGTTCCATCAAACATGAAAGCCTCCTTCTTTTGGCCTAGTTTCTATGGTATCAGAAATGGAAGTAATGAATAATCCTACCCAGCTGCAATACCTATTAACTACGATGAACAGCCTGGGAAGATATCCATATGCAAAAAGTGGAACTCATGAGTTCGCCATAACCAGTGGCTATCTAATTGTATTTAAGGCCCAGTCAACAGGAAAGGAATAACTGATCATAGGAACCTAGCTAATGTTCCAGGGCTAGTGAGGTCATAGGTCTTAGAAAAGAAGCTACAACTAACACTTCATTAGACCATCATAATTTTTACCTACTTTCTAAATATTATCCTTATGCCAGCAGGTAAGCATAGTTACTATCCATCCTCAAAGAAGCTTCCCTTTACAGCAAATGGAGATCGACATAAAAATCACAACTGTATATGATGAAGTTATCAATGGATTGTGAGGAACCCAGTCCCAGTGGATACATCTATATCACAGCTCCAGCACCTACATGTTAAGGAATACCATGGAGGGGCATGAAAAGATAGTAAGAGTCAGAATACCAGACTTCTACTGTGAAACTGTCTCTCATAGGAACGGCTACATAAACAAAACCTGAGCAATGGCAATGTCAGCAGGCCAACTAATTCATAAGAGGGTAGATTTCACAGGGTCATACTCCTGTGTAGCAGTATCTTGCCTCTGAACATATAACAGTGGCTGCACCCCTTTGGGTGTGGCTTCAGGCAGACAGAAGTAGAAAGAGGGAAGCTTGAGGCATGGCTTCTTTTTGCACGGTCTTCTCTCTTTTGTCAGCCAGTCTGGTAGAAGGGCAGAGCAGTGCTACTGCAATTCTTTATATTTTTGTGTGTAAGTGTTCCCCAATAAACACCTGTTTATCATTTATCTTCGGTCTAGTGAATCATTACACCCACACCTTCACCCCTGGACAAGGAACTATTGCCATCTGATTACTGCTGGGAGAAGGAGAATTAGACTCTTTCAGATATGAATTCTATAATTGGTTGTTCAATATAAAGTGATCATCCCTGAAACCAAAGACACACAAACAACAAAAATCGATTTGACTGGTTATATTTCC